ACTGAGGTCCAGGTCAATGAGTGTGAAAGGTAGATTTGACTTGGATCAAGTCTTTATTTTTCCCTCTCTTTAATGTGATTGATTTTTTCCTTTGAAGTAGTTTTAGCAAGAGCAATTCAAAGTTCAGCAATATGTACACAGCATTATTATTTCTTCACAGCTATTTCTGTTATAATGAAAAATAGTAAGACCTTTAGACTTGATATAGTGCTTTTCATCTTCAAAGCATTTTCAAAATACTCTCTAGCTAATCTGAACACTCCTTTAAAGCAGTTAAGGTTGATTATCATTACGATTATCATTATATTGAAGGGACAGTTTTTAAATTACTTAAATCCACAAAGAATTTGATGAAGGGGGATTTAAAATGCAGGACTCCCTTTGTCCTCATTTCCTGACCACAATGGTGTCAGAGCTTCTCCCCAGGTCAGTTTGCACTGTGAAGAACTATCTTCTTATGGACTAATTTTGTTTTCTACAGATATTTAACTAAATAATATACTTACGTATAGCTCAAGTACTTACTCCCCAACAGGAATGTTACACATTAATTGGCCTGGATTACAGCTCTACCACACATACAGCTAAATCTGTTCAGTAGCTGCAGAGACTTCAAACTGCCAGACCTTGCCGTCAATACTTCTTACAAGGCCAGAATTTTCTGTTATTTGCAATGTATGCACTCACCATGACTCTTTTGAGGCATAAAAATGCCACTTTGCAGTAAACACTCTTAAGAGCCTTAACCTGCAAATATAAATAATTTTCATCTCAAGGTTCCTCTGTACTTTATGAGTGCTGCAAGTACAAATGAGATGTGGTTCTTTCACATTATTATGACTTAAGCCACGGAAACACTGCTCATGAGCCACAACTGAAACACAGAGAAAACAAAGGCTCAAAATCATTGCATATTTCTCTCACTTTTATTAAACTGAAATGAAACTTCATTGGATGACCTCAATTTTTATCCAAATAGATTTACATTCCATCATTTACAACATGAAGTACAAAGTATACCCGCTGGGAAAGTGCAAAGCTGTAATTTTATTTCAAGGGGTTCTGTGATATCATAAATGAAAATGTAAACTGAAAATACTATATCTCTAGTGACCTATAAATAGTGTTGTTTTATGTATGTTTGTGTATATCCATCCTGAAATCTTTCTTTTTTCCTTCTTGACTGCCTGCTTCCAGTTTTACCTGATTTTGGAGAAAAATTATTATTCTTCAAAACACAGATAAATGATAGCAGAAGCAGCCCACAGTGATAAATGCTAGGTTAAAAACTTCCACATTAGAGTTTATTGATGAAATGTCACTGAACCGGATTCCACCTTTTAGTTCTATGACAAGATTTTATTTGTAAAGTATTCAAAATGATTTACCAAAAGCATATTGTCATCAAAAGAGAAAGCATCTTAAAATGTTTATCTCACAAAGCAGTATTTCTTACCTGTTACAGTATACTTTGACCCTTTCAAGGGCTTAAATGCTTATGTGGTTTCAGCTAGGTTATGAGCTGGTATGGATGATGGGACTTCTCTAGCTGCTGGTTTACAGCCATAGGACTTCAAAAATAAATGCAAAATTGAAGCAGGCTTTTATTACTGGGTCTGCTTACTGCTAAATATGAAAGAAGAATGGTATTAAATTTGAAAATGTACTTAGCTTGTCTGCAAGAATTCAGTGTTTCCAGTCCTTTTTCTGGTTTTGAACATGAATGTGGTTCTAAATACTACCTGAATATGCCAGAAGTATGGCTTGGGTAAGCTGTCTTCTAAAACTGCACGCATTAAAGTTTCCTTTGAATTTTCAGCACAAAATTTCTCAGTCTAAAGTATTTCTCTCATTACTAATTCACAGTGAGGAGTGTCTTCTGATTTCTTTTTTGTGATATGGTTTACATATGAAATATGCAAAGCCTTATATAGAGTAATACATTATCTATCTATCTATCTATCTATCTATCTATCTATCTATATTACAGAGAGTTTATAAAAGCATATAAAAAGTTTCAGGCTTTTTAGGAATGCCAGGCCAGGAAGGCGAGGTGGTTAACAGGCCCCCGCGCCCCCAATGGCCGACGGTGCCCCAAGTCCCCAGCAGCTAACGGTCCCCGCGTCCCCAAGGCTAAGGGTGCCCTGTGCACCCAACGGTTAATGGCTCCCCACGTGCTCAACAGCTAACGGTCCCCGCGTCCCCAACGGCTAACGACCCCCCAAGCCCTCAATAGCCAGAAGTGCCCCACGAACCCAATGGCTAACGGTCCCCCGCGTCCTCCACAGCCAGTACTCCCCCATGCGCCCAATGGCTA